GATGGCGGGGTTGGGGAGGGGTTGCACCCCCACAGCAAGCATGACATGGGGACATGTCTGCTGGACACGGCGGAGTCCTAGCTTTCAGCTGGGAAGGTGCATATGGGCTTGGGCTACCATACATGGCCACAGCTTCTCACCCTGGAGCTCACCTAGAGCTGAACATTTTCCCCCAAAGCACTGCAACTCACGTGATGAGCATCTGCTCCCAACATCTTCTTCATCTTGGGAAAGGAGAGGTCTCTGAAGCCCTTGGGACACAAGACAAGCAGATCTGCCCTTATTGGGGGCTGCAGATGTAAAACTGGGGGTAATGAGAGGTCTTTAAGCACGTCATTAATAGCACTTTTGGGAGTCAGGCTTCGTGATTCTGACGGGCTCCCCCCCCAGAGTCCTGTGCCTTCCTATGACACTTGGTGTCTAAAAAGCTTTTCTCCACTTCACAGCACTTCTATTCCATCTCAGGGATCTGCAAGCAGGGTCTGATGCCAGGAGCGGGTAGAGAGCCAGCCGGTTCAGATCCTAGCCTACAGGGCCCTAATGCCATGCCAGAGGGATGTCCCTCAGGAGGAGAGGGTGTGCCATTGACTTCAAGCCCATCTCTGCCAGGGCCTCCTCCAAAATTTGTCATGCCTTGGGATAGGACAGGTCCACCTTAGTACCCATGACATGGTGGCAACGGCACAGGCACTGTGCCACATGTCCCACTTGCTGGGTGGAAAAGCACCAAACATCTCCTTGCCCAAGCCCAAGATTTCAGTTGGTACTACCTCCAAAAACACCTCTGCAAGAGCAGCAAGCGGATGCATATGGTGCTCAGTTCAGGCACCTCCTAGAAGAAAGGAAGAAAGGGCTGCGAAGATCACCAAGAGTGGTCTGTGAGGGGAAGGGGTGGCACAGTACGGGGTCCGACGGCTCAGTACAGCATGCTTGGCTTTCTCAGATGCATTTGATTGAGGACCATGCGACAGTTGTGATGTGAAAATTGCCTTGCATGGTGCTAAGGAGGCAAATGTTGGCTGGATCACACCTGGCTGAGCCACAGGTCTCACAATGCTTCTGTTAGCAGGAGATGTCAAGGTGTAGTTGTGTCTACCAAGCCCTCCTGCCAACACCTAGTCTGCTATTTGGCCAATAATATAAAATCTTTCCTGGTGAAACATGCAGCTGATGCCAGCTGCTGGTGGGACAGTAACTAACACTAAAGGATTGCCGTTAGAGACCTAAAGGTACAGTCAAATGCCCAGAGATCAGCAAAATGCATCTCGTGCAGCTGCATATATTGTAAAAGCAGTGACTGCACTAGATGCTGTGGGCCAGCCCTGCAAAGTGACGTTCACTGTGTGGAAGTTAACACAACTGTGAGTTAAAAGGCTTTGAGCATTTATGGCCCCATCTTTCCTTGTGATGAGGAAGACAATAACATTGTCATCTGAGAGCTGAAATGCTTTAATTCAACTTTGGACATTAGCTGTGGCTTGTGACATATAGATTAGACACAGCTTTCACCCTTGTCTGGGAACAAGGAGATAGTGGTTGTAATTGATGGATCTGCCAGTTAATCAAAAATTACATCCATCCAGGGAAAAGCCCAGGAAATCAACAAGACAAGTCTCTTCTGTTGCCATCCTTTTGCATACAGTGGCCTCTTTGAAATATCACCACTCATTACCCGCCTTGCGTGGGAAAGTTAATACCATCATCTCCCTGCTCACATCTAGAAAATGATATCTCACCACAGAGATCCTTAAGTGCCTGCTGCCTGGAGCACGTCCAGAGGAACGTGTCCATGAACTTTTCTACTCCACCTTAAAAAAACAAGGTTTTTTTTGTTTAAGTCTTAATTTGGAAGGAAGCTATAGGAAAGAGGGGTTTTCATAGAATGTCATGGTATGGGGAAGGATGGGAGCAATTTGAGACTCACTGTGATGCATGCTTGAAAACCTCTGAATCAAAAATCTCATGATTTGAAAATCTCTGAATCTATGATTTGCTTATTATCGGGTATTTTGAGGTCTCATAACGACCAAAGCTGTAAGATTGCTGAAAGGATGGGGTCAGAGACATCTCTGCTTATCTGTCACTTGCGGTACTGAAAGCTGCTGCTGCTACAAGGCCCCTGTGAGAGCATCACTCCTCTTTGGAGCACGCCTGCTTGAGAGGCGGCGAAAGGAACAACACAGTGTTAAGTCAAAGATGCCTCATTTTCAGTTTTCTGCATGTCACATGCTTTCTGTATTGATCTCTATTTGGATTTTTAGTGGTTTGGCTTGCTCCCATTCAAAATTGAAAGAAGGGGAAAGAAGTGCAAATTTTAGCATGTTTTAATGCAAAAATCCATCTTTGAAGAAAGAAGCAGAAAACAGAGTGAAGATGAGGAAAACAGCACAAGTGAAGAGTCTGACAAGGTCCCTTGAAGTTACAGCCTACTCCTTCACCCCTGCACTAAAAGGACCCACATCTTTCCCTGTGCACTAAGGCAGAGCTTGGATGAAGGCAGACTGGTGGGATGTGTCCCCAGAAACCACCACCACGGGTCCAGCAATGATTGACCCGCCTGCCATGGTGACATGTTCCAGAGGAACCGATAACCCAGCAGAAAATCCTCTTGTATGGTTTAGCATGTTACTCCCTTGAGGGCCGGCTCCCGCAGGATGGCCAGGCCTGGATTGGAAGCTGAGGAGCATGTATGAAAAAAATGGGGCTTGGTTGTTTTCGTATGCCATCCTCCATGGGGTACGGCTCTTTGATTAAGGTTTTCCAACACTGTAACATAAAACCTTATTTCAGCTGGGACTTTGGTTGCTTTTGAGCTCATGCTAAATCAAGCCAATACTAAATGCCTCACCAGATTAGATTTATTGTATGGCCATGTGGCTCTTCATGGCTACCTTGATCCGTGGAAGATAGGAGACCGCATGCCTTTGTAAAAGATTTGTGCACATACATGACCACCAATCTTCCCCGTTTCTGCACAACACACAGTGATTGAAACCTGATGGTTTGGAGCTGGTTGGTTCATACACAATAACAACATCTAGTTTTAAACTTGAGGACTTCATGGAAAGAAGAAAAAAAATCAATAAAACCACATGGTATCATGAAATATCCTTCAAAGATGTTTTTAAAATTAACTTAAGTTTTAAAGTTCTTAGCATCACTTAAAATACTGCATTAGAAATAGTCAAATGCAGCAATAAATTACAGTGTTCAGTTGCTGTGAATACAGGATGTCGGATTTTTGTGAAATACAGGGTTGTAAGAAAAAAAGGCTGAATTGTACTTCTCTAATGGTTAAAATTCTGTCTGCTGAAAATAGCATTTTGATATTTTTAGTGCTGTAGTAGAGAGGGGTACTAAACTTGTGATACGTGATTTAAGAGGAAGGGCAAGCTAAAATCAAATTTAGAATAAATAAATGATTTCTTAGTTAATTTCTCAGTAATTTCAAAATTGACTTCACAGAAACACAGTTTAGTAGTTTAGAAATACTTGAAACTGTGACAGGTAGTATTTTCTACACAATTATACTTGCTGTTTGTTTTTTTAGTATTTCAAATCAAATTCCTTGTTCATTCACTCACATGTGCATTTATATCGTTCCCTGGACCTGTCCCTCTATTTCTACACCTGTTTTGCCAAAATAAAGTACAGAGCTGTCTAGAACTCACCTAACTTTCAGACTGGCTGTTTACTTTAAATGAGTTTTTATGGTGGTGGTGATGTAACCCTAAACCTGAAATGTCAGCAGTTTTCTTATTAACACACCACCACAGACCACGCTTAGTTAAATTCTCTTTCCTCCTTCCTCTTGGCATTTGCCAGGCAAAGCAGCTAAACCACCTTCTGTATTGGCTGCTCCTACCCCAATTCCTCCACCACCTGGAAGGAGAAAAGGACTGCTCCTTGTTCAGGGGACCCTGGACCAGCAGAGAGCCATGATGCACCAGTGATGTTGTAAATGTGAACTAATGTGGTAAATAGTGAACTATTTTAAGTGCATCCACTTTCCTGGCCAGTCTGCTTTACTGTGTTAAACTCGTGTTATAGCCCAGATGTCAATGTTTATTCCCAGGATGACTCTGGGATAGCACCCCTATTGCTATGAGAGTGCTAGAAACATGCACACCTTCTCTTTCACCTTCTCTCAATTCTTTCTTTTATGAGCACAGCTGGGCTGATGCTGCTTAGACCACACCCAGGACAGATACCATGTTTCAGTATTGGGTCTGGCTGAGATGGAGTTAATACTCCCCATAGTTAATACTCCTCATAGTGCTGTGCTCTGCATCAGTAGCTAGAAAGGTGTTGATAACACACCAGTGTTTTGGCTACTGCTGAGCGGTGCTGGCACAGCATCAAGGCTGTGTCTCCAACATTTTTGCCCCCCCCCCAATGGTAGGCTGGGGCAGGGCAAGATCTGTGTTGCCAGTAATGTCATCAAGCTCTTAAATGAGCTCTTCCAGCAATCTGCAACTGGGGCTCCAGAAAACCGTGGGCTAAGAACGATGGTCAGCAGACAACTACTATCCCTCACTTAAAAGTTGTCCATGCCTGAAGACACAGTTAGACCTTGAGTCAATATGGTTAGACCCTTCATAGGCCGTCCAACTTGAGAAGCATCGCAAGGTATGCCCCAACACTGATTCCCTAGGGCCAACACAATAACCATGACCAGGGCTGATCTGCACCACAAGAAATGACCACATGTATGTATGAAAGCTCTGGGATCAATTGTCTGTGTTTCGTCTGTTACTTGCAGGGCTCCAAATGCTCAGCGAAGGAGTAAACTCTGCAGCTCCACAGGTTTTTGTGCTGCTTCAAGTCAGGCTCCTCTCCTTGACATAATTTTCATGGGCTGTAAAAGTATCAGGAGACCTGGCAAGACTGCTGGAGCTCAGTGTGCCTCTGACTAGAGCCAGAAAAAGCTTTACTTCAAGCAAAGTAACACTCACAGCACAGATCCTTGAAAATTCAATTCTATAATTCTATAATTATTACAGCACACCAATAGGTCTTCCTTTATTTATTTTTGCAAGACAGAGGCCAGTGATGTTAACACTAAACTACAATTCAGTCCATCATAGTAAAATTCATCATAAATCTAGATTAAGCTTAGCAGCCGACTTTGAAATTGCTATAAATGAGACTTCACAGCCTCTGCAAGACTCATAGCAGAATCTATGCAGCCACTGAAGTTGGAAAAAGTAAATCCATCGCCTCCACAAATCAGGAGAGGTTGAGTATGAAGAATCATTTGCCCCAGACAATTTGGCACAGGTTTTGTAACCTGAAAAAGAAAAGCATATAGGGAGATGGAAAACAAAGTATTTTATTTACCTGAATTTCACACCAGAAGGGTCCATATTCCTGAGAAACATGCCCTCATACGAAGCACCCCTCCCATCCCAGATCGTACGTCCAAGCACTAATGATCAAAGTACCATAGCAAATATTTATCTTATGGAGTTATACAATTAGAATAAAGCTTTCCTGTATGTGGAAGTTTAGAAACTTTACAGCCCCATCCTGTCTTATTCTCTATCCGCCTCAGCAGAAATGAATTGCCTGACCCTGGATAGATGAGGCATGGAGAATTCTAAGCCAAAAGGTATGAAGATACATGATCTCACATCAGCAAAAGTGGGCTTGCAAAAAAACCCAGATATGTAACTGTTCAACAAAGGAAAGGGAGCCTGCCGTTTTCAAGAGAGCCTGCAACATGACTGGGTTGACCAGGTGACCTTCCTGGATGGGAAGTGAGGTGGACTTCAGAGTAACAACTGTCATGATGACCTGCCCATGCTTCATGCTGCTGTGCAAGTGTACATACAGCCTTGGCACAACCCACCCTGTCTCCAGCTCTGCTACGCTGGTCTCCTTTTTCATCTGAGTAGCACAACAATTTTTAGACACAGCTAGAGATACAATCAACGCTTTCTCTGTAAGCAGCATGGGACAAGTTCTGAATAAGGTTGCTTTGATAAATATTTAATGTCATTCTCAATGTATGCATTGTATTCATTTTAAATATAATTTTCCTGGCACTATACCCTCAATTAAACTTCTATCTGTGGAGTGGCAGCTCTTGAGCAGTTCTGTGTAACATTTCTAAAAGTGAATGGACTTTGCTTTGGCCAGTACCTATTAACCTGAAGCCACCTGGAACTCACGGGGAGAACAAGACCTCTTTTCAGTATTGTACTTTATGACAAACACCAAAGTGTGTCAAACAGCAGAGTAAAAGCACATGGCATTTGTGTTTTTACCATGCTTGGCTATGTCACATGTTGTTGACTGTTTCAAACCTACGTACAAAGGCTGAGTGTCCATGTTGTACTAAATCAGTGCATCCCAGAGCAGCATCGGTGAATCTCAGAATGGAGACAAGGCAGCAGCAGCAGCAGCACTGGCCAAAAGGTAAATGTGAGGGCAAGGCAGGCTCAGGCAGAAGGGACAAAAAAGATAAGAAGATGTAGGGCAGCTTGATGATGAAGTGATTGGAGGAGGAAGGTGGGAAGAAATAGTCTGAGAAAAGGAATGACAAAACAAGAACCATAGGGATGAAGTGTTGAAAAAGAGGAAAAAGTATCTAGCAAGCCAGAGAGAGAGAGAAAAAAAAAAGAGCCGAAGCACAGCAGTAGACCAGCAACAGAGATCAAACCATAGAGATGATAAAGCATGATACAGAGTACGGCTTTCTTTCAATCCTTTCTTGACTTTTTGCCTTCGGTCCAAAGATATGTCTTGGATTCAAACATATCTTTTGGTCCAAAGATATGTTTTGAATTCCTGTGCAGTAAACCATTACTGTATCCCATCATGCGACTGTCAGCTTCAGTGAACAAGACATAAAGTCCAAACCATCTAGTTCAGTCCAGGGGATTTTTCCACTGATTCAAATGTACACTTAGCTAGCCACTGCGGTGCCGTTATCTGCCATTTCCAAGCACAGATCAGCTGCAAAACACCCACATTTATGTTACTGGCTGCATTTTGTGATACTGGCATATTAGCATCTCTTTAAAGGAGGTAATTACCTGAAATGAATTTGTAGCTGGTTGTGACCCATTCTCCATTATTCAACTTAACAGAAGAGTCTAGGCATGTATGGTAAATCCAGCCAGAGATCATCTTTCTCAGACTACTTTTAGGTCAGTACTTAATTTATTCTTAAATTTTTCTTACAGATTGAGGTCACTGAGCATAAATAATGAAGAAAGGTTTAGCAGAAAAAGGCTTTTTGAGTGTCCTTCCTTCTTGACTACCTAGTGCTTATTTGATGCTGGCTGTACCAAACAGCTTCTAGGTCGTCATACTGATCACAGGATCAATATTTTCACATCTCAGCCTGCATCTTTTCACCTGTATGGCAAGATTGTGCACTCAATGCAGTAACAGCCCTTACTCTCAACATAGTGACTGGGGAAAGGAATGATCCTGCCCCTTTTTCATGTTCTTCTGAAGGTGTTGTCCAACATAAATTCCAAATTACCCTCAGCTGTATGGCAGAGACTGTTAGATCTCCATCCTCGAAGACTTCAAGACTCAGCTAGACAAAGCCATGGTCAAGGTCACCTAGTGCTGGTGATAGTTCTGCTTTGAGCAACAGGTTGGACTAGAGACCTGAAGAGGTCCTGCTGAGGTTCCCTCTGAAGAGGTCTAATTTCTATGATCCTGTGTTTTGCCAGTATCCCTTATACATATAAAGTGACTCTGTCAAAGGGACATGATGGGTTGGGAAGCTCTTGGCTCTGTATGCTAATAGTGTCTTATCGTAATTAAAGAAGGGGATCCAGAATTGCAGCTGTGCTGCTAAGTAGTGTCAGTAGAAGTTTGGAAGTCCTAATCCCTCATCTGCCATGGATAATTGTAATGTCTGCATTTTAATCTCAGGATTGTGTTTGGCCATGTGAAGGACGTTACAGCCGGATTTAATTAACAAGTAGGATAAATCCTGTCTAAAAGAGTCAGGGGAAAGATGCACCCATCTTAACAGTTCCCTTTGCTTCTGTGGCAACAGCTTACCATAATTGAAAGTAAAGATAGCTTTAAGAGAAAGAGGGAGCTCTGTCCCAGATATTTAATTTAGGTAGTGATTATTTTATAGGGTGGCAATAGAGATCTCTTTATTGAGATAACAGATCTGACCTACACTGACTTATTTGCAATCTATGACATACTGACATTCATCCACCGAATTAAAGACTGGTCATAATTCCTCCTGTGTCACAGCCATAAAGCACAAGCAGCTGCTGAAGTCAGTGGTTTTGGTTAGTAGCAGCATGGTCAATAGCAGGCAACAGAGGCAGGGGAAGAAAGCGGGAAGAGCTGTAAATTGTACAGTGGTTTGAGAAAACAGTAGACCATCATCCAGCAGTATGATGTCTGCACGTAATTTTTAAATAGGGGAAACAGGACACACACCTAGTGATTTAGGAAGACAACAATTTTGAAGTATTTGTGGAAAGTAGGAGTTCATTCCTACAGTCACTGTTGCAGCTGCCTCTAAAAGATGAAGCAATAGGTACAAGGTTATAATAAATCCTGTGTGACCATAATTTTGCCAGGATTGAAAAAGCATAGTTGTTTGGTAGAATGCAATTGAGACTTTTTTTTTTATTCAGCAGTAACAAATTAACTGCCGTTCTTGTCTTTCCTTTATCCATGTTTTCATGGTGAAATAAATCAGAATGGGCCATATATGATGCATATGCTTATACGTCTCCTTTGACACTAAGCTAAAAGTGTGAGTAGTGCAAGGAAAAGGCATATTAAGCCCTTTTCTTGCACACATAAACAAAGTAGCTGAATTTGACAAATTTTATGATAGAGGTCTGTGACAGCAGTAGTATCTATGCATGATCTCTTTCTATGACAAGGTGACCCCCACTTAGTGGATGAGGGAAAGGCTGTGGATGTTTTCTACCTGGACTCTAGTAAAGCCTTTGACACTGTTTCCCACAGCATTCTCCGGGAGAAACTGGCTGCTCCTGGCTTGGATGGGCATACTCTTCACTGGGTAAAAAACTGGCTGGCTGAGCCTAAAGAGTTGTGGTGAATAGAGTTAAATCCAGTTGGTGGCCAGTCACAAGTGGTGTTCCCCAGGGCTCAGTTTTGGGGCCAGTTCTCTTTAATATCTTTATCAATGATCTGGACGAGGGGATCAAGTGCACCCTCAGTAAGTTTGCAGATGACACCAAGTTGGGAGGGAGTATTGATCTGCTGGAGGGTAGGAAGGCTCTACAGAGGGATCTGGACAGGCTGGATCAATGGGCCGAGGCCAATTGTATGAGGTTCAACAAGGCCAAGTGCTGGGTCCTGCACTTGGGTCACAACAACCCCATGCAACACTACAGGCTTGGGGAAGAGTGGCTGGAAAGCTGCCTCAGTGGAAAAAGACCTGGGTGTGCTGGTTGACAGCCAGCTGAATATGAACCAGCAGTGTGCCCAGGTGGCCAAGAAGGCCAACGGCATCCTGGCTTGTATCAGAAGTAGCGTGGCCAGCAGGAACAGGGAGGTGATCATCTGTACATGGCACTGGTGAGGCCGCCCCTTGACTGTGTTCAGTTTTGGGCCCCTCACTACAAGAAAGACATTGAGGTGCTGGAGCGTGTCCAGAGAAGGGCAACCAAGTTGTTGAGGGGCCTGGAGCACAAGTCTTATAAGGAGCGGCTGAGGGAACTGGGGTTGTTTAGCCTGGAGAAAAGGAGGCTCAGGGGAGACCTTATTGCTCTCTACAACTACCTGAAAAGTGAGTGTTGGTCTCTTCTCCCAAGTAAAAAGCAATAGGACAAGAGGAAATGGCCTCAGGATGTGCCAGGGGAGGTTTAGATTGGCTATCAGGAAAAATTTTGTCACCAAAAGGGTTGTCAAGCATTGGAACAGGCTGCCCAGGGAAGTGGTGGAGTCACCATTCCTGCAGGTATTTAAAAGACGTGTAGATGTGGTGCTTAGGGACATGGTTTAGTGGTGGACTTGGTAGTGCTATGTTAACGGCTGGACTTGATGATCTTAAAGGTCTTTTCCAACCTACATGATTCTATGATTCTATGATTCTAGGGTGTATTAATTCTGTTTAAAAATACTTCTTACTTTGTTTTGGGAGCCCTTTCCAGAGCTGGTCTACCAAGTGTCTGTCTGTTGCAGATGGATCCAATTCCTCTCCCTACCACCTGCAGCTCTTGTGCTCACAAGCAATTTGAAGCAGAAAGGTAACAGATAATGCAGAAGAAAAGACCAGAAGTCACAATCAGAAAAGGATGCCTTAACAGTGACAACTGTGTAGAGATACTGTTACTACCAAAAAAAAAAACCTGATAAAGAGGAACATATAAAACATACCATAATTTTTGCATGAGTCATCTGAAACATTAAAACCTATGTTAAGGTCATTTTTATATGACAACTGAGAACAAATACTATGCACTGGGAAGTGATTTGCAAACTACCAATACCTAACTCACAGAAAAATAAACTTTGTGCTAATGAGACCAGGTTCCTAAATTGGATGCAGATCAAGGGGTATGAGCAGACTTCACAACAGTCATCTACCGTAACTTTTCCAGACTTCATAAAAGGAAAAATTTTTTAGGGGACTGCTTTAAGTAAATATTTTGCATCAACTTCCACAGTCAATTTCACCAATGTAATTTAACTTAAGAGGCTTTGGGTAAACATGTAGATACACTCCAATACTTTAGGAAATTGCCAACAATTTCCTTGGATTTTTAAAAGAAGTCTGTAAAATATACACATTTTGCTATTATTACCCTTAGGTAGTTTACTTTAAAATATTTTTTGCATAACATACTGTTAAATTGAACTGGGCCAAATCAAGTAACAACAATTAGTATGTCTGAATGCAAGGACTTCTGCTACTCTGTGGTAAGGTGGGAATTTTGCTAATAATATCACATACTTTTGGATATAGAAGAGATAGATTGAGTCATATTTTTAAATACCAGTGAAAAACCCACTGAAGTATGTGGGATTTACTTCCTTCCTGTGCACTGCTCCAGTCCGTACTTACCAGGAGTGCTGCATAACTTATCACTGAGCCAGGTCCACTATGTAAAAAGATGACGAGAAATGATCTGACTGTTGTTGGCCAGCCTTGGATGCTGCTCATGGCTACGTGGAGGAATATATTATGGATATTGAGCAACTATCTCCTTTCCTCTTGCTCCCCGAGCATGAAAACCACTGGGTCGTATTATGTCCTGTTTCTTGTGATACACTGCAAGTCTGTACTACGGCATTGCCCCAGCAGCATCCCCCCAGCTGACTAATCCCACCACAGAGTACCTGAGAGTATCTCCATTTCTGACACTTGATGCTGGCTGGTTTAGGTAGGGATGGCACAATTCTCTCCAGGTGATTGAGAATTAACTGCTGCACCTCTGCAGGGTCTGAATCCAGGTGCTCACTTCCAAACGTCACAGTTGTGTGAACTACAACAGAGGGCCCAATTTCAGGAGACTCTGAAATAGAAAGAGATACTTTTGAAACATTACTCATTAATACTTGCCTTCCCTGCATGCTGACAACTGTGCCTCTAGCCTAGGAGTCAATAAGAATGAAAATATCTGTGGCACCACCCTGTTCTTCCAGCTGGAAAAAAACACAAGGAATAACAACACAAGTTGTTTACAAGAAGCACAGTGAAGAAGTCCAGTCTTTTTGCAAAATCTGTGATGGTTTTCCCATTGCAATAACCCTAGCTCCACATATGTCTTCTAGAGGAACCTCAAGGCATTCCCACATCCCATAAGTAGCAGCTGGAAGGAGCGGGCAATACACTGGAAGCAAACTCTTCCCCTTTTTCCTTCCAGACATTTCAACAGGCTCTGCAAGGAGGGCAACCACTTGCCAATTGCCACAAACTGGCAAAAGAGAACAACAAGAAGAAACATGTAAAACTGCTTTGCAGAATTTTCCTAGCCAGGTCTAGAAATAGTAACAATTAGTGCCCCTACAACTGCAGGGCACTCGGAGGCATGTGGTCGCAGCCACCCACCTGCAAGATCTTGCTTGGGTGGTGGTTGTGGAGGTGAGGCTTCCCAAAGGGCTACACTTGCAGCTGGGACTCATGTTATCACTGGCAACGGTAAAGGGGAAACCCTTTACCAAAGGCTGAAGCTCACCTTACCATGTGGCAAGATTAAGGTATGGGATGATGCACCTTTTTTTTTTTGATGGAAGGTTATTGTTGGAAATGGAATGACTCTGCCGCCGCTCGCAGGGATCGATCTCCAGGGGCTCGGCATTCCGCTTATGGCTGAAGGCACATGAAGTCCTTCTGAGAGCAACAGTGCATACCAGATGTAAACCAAACAAACCGCAGTCGCAGCCACCACAAGCCTGACACACGCAAGCCACTGCACCGACAACAGCACGGCTCTGCCAGCAAGCCACCTCCTCTGTCTGAACAGCTGGAGAAGTGCAGGCAGCCGGGTTACCACAGCCAATTTGCTTACCCACCTATATCAGGCTAATTTATATTATTCCTCCCCTGAGCGTTTGAAACGCATGTCCCCTTAAGGGGACAATCTCTGCAACACAGAAATACGAAAGACTTGAACATGAAATCATCACGAGATAAAAATTATTTTTAAGGCAAGGACAAAAAAAGAAGAGTGTTTGTTGCATTGCTGTGGAAAACATCTGCGCCCTCTATAATTTGTTGCATATTGGCCATGCAACAGTATTTACATAGTTGAAAGGCTAGAATAAAACCAATACTTCACATTTATGGAGGGGGAGAAGGGGAACAGAAGCCAGGCCAGGTTACCTCGAGAAATCAGCACTTCCTTTTGGCCTGCACAAGTGAACTCAACTTAAATTTTGCTGCTCTAGCAACTGCCAGGAAATTGATGTGCAGTTGTCTACATGCACGTTTTGGGGAGTGTGATCCTTCAATATAACTTCTGTCCTCCAGCAAATATGTGCAAGTGAGTAAAACTCAAAAAAAGAGTTTGTCCCTTAAAAATCAACCAGGCTGCAGTGCCAGGGGAGGAACTGAAGGCAGCTCAAGAGCTGATGTTCATCCCAGCAGACTTGGAAATGGCCAAGCTTCATTATGGCTGGGGCTGGTAGCAGTAGGTTCTCTACAGCAAGGGACTTCCGTCCCCGCCAGCATATTGAGCTGTCACCTTACAGACTTGGTCTGGACAGCCAACAACCAGCAGCCAGAGAATTTGCCTAGAATAGGGGTTTTTCAGGCTAAGTGACTTCCCTGTGCCAAGGCACGATGAGGACCCAGCAGATCCTTGTGTGAGTCATTCCTGCTGGGGCTGTTCTGCTTTGAATGAGTAGGATGCATTTGCTGGAGCAAGGACACAACCTGGGTTCTGCTATACTTCAGCTGGGAGCTCAAACTCACTGAGCTGGTCATTAAATTAAGCGATTCCCTCTCACTGCATTAACCAGAAATTCCCTCTTTTGGAAGCAGAAAGCCTCTTCTGGCTAAACCTTTGTTTGAATTAGCATACTCCTAGAAGAATATTTTCGTTTCAGCAAATGAGCATTTTATGACCACGGAAACCACAAAGAGGCAGCTGAACACTTTCTGACCACTTTTGACTGTTAGGTACTAAGCTTGATAGAAATCTTTATCTCTGCTGTGTCACTGAAGAGATGTCCAGCTCCAGCTCCTCCAGCTGGAGATCCTCTTTAAGAAGATGACAAATTCCAGCTTTCCAAAGGCAAACAAAATGTCTTTCTCTGATATAAGCTTTCTGTCCTGGGCTGATCACTTCAGAATACACTACTGAGGTGCAGCAGTACCAAGTCCTAGCACCCAGAGCAAGCACAAAAGCAATGGCTTTAACGTCAGTTGGAAGGATCCCTACACTGAGTCTCTTTCTTGGATGGGCCAGCTCAGTCAATCCTTGCTCTCGAGAACTGGGAAAATGTGGCAAAAAGGGTGGGAAAATGTTTCCTGGTTGTGATCAGGAATACACCCCGAAAGGCCATATCTGAAGGCACTGAGCCATGGTGCTGCCTTCTCTTAAAGTTCTCCTTTTCCAAGTAAGGCACTCCTAAGAGCAGAAGATCACTCACTTCACTCCCTGTGCTGGGTTCACGAGCTCTGTTTTCAGCAAATACTAGAGCTCTTTTCCTGGGTGATTTCCTGAAGTGTCCAGAAACTTTGAGTTTGTTTTCTATTTTAATCTGAGGTGCTCATTTTGCTTTTTTGTGTCTTGGGCTTGAAAGTAAGCCTTAGCTATCAGGGATGGACAGGTCAAAGATATCCACCCAACATGGATTTGGGATGAGGGCAAGGCAGATCTGGGGACTAAGACTGTAGAGTGAAGCAAGGACCACTCATCTAGAAGCAGAGGCTCAGCCAAAGGGGCCACCTTCTTCCCTGAGCTGTGATGAACTGATTGCCCAAGTCTGACATCCAGCCTCAGACACATCTTCCTGAGATTCCTCCTGCCACCCCCAAGCCTGGTTTTACAGGCTAGCACAGGACGTAACTCTACTCGCATCAGCTTTTCCAACTGTCTGGAAAAACGTCATAAATGCTATTCAGTCTCTGCTTCCCGTTTTGGGGGAGAAAACAGGTATTCTGACGTCTCTACAGAGAGACTGTCAGGGACAGAGTACCAAGTGGGGAAGCCTATTAGGTACCTTGGGATTTATTATAGTGTACATGTCATTTTGGCAAATTCTTCCACATAAACTTGGCAAAAAGGCTCATTAAAGGATGTCTAAGCATTTTAATAAAATAAATATCCATTGCTTGCTGTGACTTGTTATAGCCAATGATTCTTGGACAGGGCCACCTTCTTTCAAATCTCTCATCTCTTCCATAGCATGTACAAAACAAGTTTCAGGAAAACAGGCAGTTAGTTGAGTTTTTAATTCCTCCTTTGAGCTACTGATAGCTTGGAGAGCTTCCAGAGGCCACTGAGTCACAGCCTTCCAGTACTGAAATATGCAGCCTGCGAGGATCAAGTTTAGCCTGAAGCCCTTTTCTTTCTTCTGCAAAAATACTGGCTAAGAGAGGAGTTTAAAATAGATTTTTCCCTGAAAGCAGTGGGGGTATCTCAGCCTTGAGGCACTGGGTATGAATGACTGTTCAGCCGTCACAGGAGTAAAACCATCATTTTCCTCCCAACATGTTCAGATCAGGCTGCAACAGCTAGCTTAGAAACGAAGGCTTCTGGCAGGGCTTCTCATGAGATTTTAATTTCCTTTATTTGTGGTAAGGATGCAAGCCATCCGTGGCCATGCTAGCAGATGACAAAGTAGCATGGGAGATGTGGCAAGCCCGGGAACGCTCGGCAATGCGAGGGGTAATGATCTGAGGGTGAATGGAAGCAGCATAAAAGCTTTCATCTGCTCCCAATTCTCCCCCCTCCCTCACCCCAGCTGCATGGCAATTAATCTAATCAGTTGATGCAGTGGAAGGCATAAGACACTGGTCAGATCAGAGCTAGAATGAGACAGCAGAGTTGGCCGCAGCTTATACCTACATAATGAGCGAGAAGCTGCTCTGCCAGCATTGGCAGTGTCCTCGGCATCCACAGTTGCTGAGGGACCCCACTGAACACCTATGAGCAGCAAGCTTGCACCTGCCTCCCCTTCCTCCATCCAGCCCATGCTGCATCGCCACAGTGGCAACACTGGCTGCAGGGGCTGGGTACCTGCCCCCCGTCCCCTCCAGTGTGACTCCATTAACTCGCACCAGGAGGAAAGTGGCTTTTTGTGCAGAGACCCTGTTGAGGCTGTGTCCGGGGAGGGAAGCGCCAGCATCATCTCGTACAGTGATGGAAGCCTGGCGGATGCGGTTTGTGCCTGAGGTTCAGACTCTTCTCTTCCCTGTGGCATAGGGAAGATACAATACTGTAACTACAGGTTTCCTTTGCTTCTCTATTGTTTTCCTCCATTTACTGTTAATTTCCTTTGCTCTGCTGCATCGCACAGGACCGACACAGGCAGATAGTAGAAGCAAAGTGATGAATGTGAGGATAAACACATTCCTTTCAAGACTCATTTTGCTCCCATGTAAACAGGGTGATCTTTGGCGTATCGCCCCCTCCAGCCCAGCATCCAGTCTGTGACAAGGAAGGTGCTGCAGTAGCTGCTACATCCCTGCCTGGCCCAGCAGCAGCGGCTGGGGCTGTGTGGACCCTGCAGACTGTGGAGCGGCTGGCTCATGGGGATGGGAAGATGGACAGAGCCAGACTCTGATATGGGTCCCAGATGTAACATGGCCACCCTCCTTGGAATGTCTTGGCCACCACCACTGTCTACATGCAGTCGTTCTGAGCAGCCTGCAAGGCTGAGCAGCAGAGTAGTAGGGATGAACAAATCCCAGTTTTTTTGTCTCAAAGTCAAAGTATGAAGTTCCACCAGTCCCCCACAGACAAGTCTAGTCCACAAAGACCTTATGGGAGGTGCTGAAGCACTTCAGACCAAAGTCTGGCTGCACTGGCAGTCTGATCAGCAATGTCTTCCCCTCTTAGCAAGT